CCTCCCCGCAGCGTTGACCTGCCGCTTCCCCCCCAACCCCCCAGCGTTGACCTCCCGCTGGCTCTTGCAATGCATCCTGGGACGTGTGGTGAACACCACAGCCAGAGTGGTGAGGTTGCCCGCCCCGGCACTTGATGATCAGAGTATGCTGGGAGCAGTTTGTAGTATGATCAGGGGGAAGGGGTACCATGACTTTGTGAAGCCGAGATACTATGTAACAGGAAGTAGCAAGTTAACGGCGGCCTCTCCTCTCAGGTGTGACGGCAACGCTGCCTATCCGGCGCCATGGAGGACAAGCGGAACATCCAGATCATCGAGTGGGAGCACCTGGACAAGAAGAAGTTCTATGTCTTCGGGGTGTGCATGACCATGATGATCCGGGTCAGCGTCTACCCGTTCACGCTCATCCGGACGCGGCTCCAGGTGCAGAAGGGGAAGAGCCTCTACAACGGGACGTTTGATGCCTTTGTGAAGATCCTGAGGTCGGAGGGGGCCGCCGGCCTGTACCGGGGCTTCCTGGTCAACACCTTCACCCTGATCTCCGGCCAGTGCTACGTCACCACCTACGAGCTGACCCGCAAGTACGTGTCGGGCTACAGCAGCAGCAACACGGTCAAGTCCCTGGTGGCGGGAGGCTCGGCGTCCCTGGTGGCGCAGAGCATCACCGTGCCCATCGACGTGATCTCGCAGCACCTCATGATGCAGCGGGCGGGGGAGAGCATGGGCCGCTTCCATGTCGGCAGAGCGGACGGGAAACAGGCGGTCATGTTCGGCCAGACCAGGGACATCATCCTGCAGATCTTCCGAGAGGACGGCCCGAGGGGATTTTATCGGGGTTACGTGGCTTCTCTGATGACCTACATTCCCAACAGTGCCGTGTGGTGGCCCTTCTACCACTTCTACGCAGGTGGGTGGCAGGGCATGCTGGGGGTTGTAGTTCTTAAAGGTGTATGTCTACCCAATCCTTTTATATTTGGGAACGGTTTAAACCCCTATTGGGTTATATTTTTGCTGCCTGCCGGAGTAGATCATCCTTCACTTCCTGTTTCAAGATCACATGTTGGTCTGAGCTTACACTAGCCCCGCCCCCAGAGGACGGGAAGCGAGTCACATGCGCCTTTATACCTGGAAGTACCAATGTTTCCTTTAATCCCTTCACTAAAGGGACCAGTGAAGGGAAGGTGAGGACCATGCGCTGCAGGGGATGGTGGCACCTCTGGTGTGGGATGGTGGCACCGCGTTGTGGGATGGGGGCACTTCTGGTGTGGGATGGGGGCACCTTTGGTGTGGGATAGGGCCACCTTGATGTAGGTTGGGGGCAGCGCGGGGCATGTAATGTGATTCTTCTGTGTGGTTAATATTTGTGCTTTGCTTCCTCCAGAACAGTTATCAAGTCTGTCACCTAAAGACTGTCCTCACCTGCTGCTTCAAGCCATCTCGGGGCCCCTGGCAGCAGCCACTGCGTCTACCATCACCAATCCTATGGATGTCATAAGGGCCCGAGTGCAGGTAACACAACAGGGTGGTTCTACTCCGCCGACTATTGATTTCTCTCTGTTAGGCTCACCATATACGTAGAATCTGAACAAGCAACTTCAGAGCTACCAGAACTTATGTTCTATGAGGACCTTCCTAAACTACCCAATCAGGCCGGCCCAGGCTCTACATACTTGTTGGTAGATCTAAAGAAGATTGCCCAATCAGATTGTAACATGCGGTGAGCATGGATATAGCAAGGACTGTACCATCCATTGACATTACCTCAAGGTTCAGTACTGGATGTTATCATCATGTGGTGGAAATAGTTTCGTGGTGGTAATGGCGGGAAAATTATCATTGATAACAATGCTGTAATTCATAGCGGAATGACCGATCACTGTACTGCTGCTGTGTCTTCAGTCACGGGGGGTGAGAGGGGCGGTCAGGGGATGGGAAGCCCTGTCTAAGATCTACGTCATTCTAATTGGAGTTTAGACAGGACTAACAAAGTCCAACAAGAACGTCAAGACAACTATCCAAGAGTCCCAAATATTTCATGGTATAATTGATTGACATGATGGCAACACCACAGAGCAGCCAACATGTTTCGGGGGCATGGGGGGCAGACAAACACCTTTGGCAGGGCTCAGGTTTAAATGATGGGTCTCCAAGTATGGTAACCAAGAATGGAGTGGCGTGCCTGTTACCGAGGAGTGGAATGGAATGGAGTGGCATGTTAACCACAAATTATATGGTAACCAAGAATGGAGTGGTGTGTTATCCAACAATAGTATGGTATGGTAAGCAGGAATGGAATGGAGTGGTGTCGTGTGGTATGGTAACCAGGACTGGCGTGGTATGGTAACCAGGAATGGAATGGCGTGGCGTGGTGTGGTATAGTAACCAGGAATAGTATGCTGACCAAGGATGGTGTGGAATGGTGACCAAGAATGAATATTAATAGTGTACAAGTCATAGGACCCCTCAGATCTGCTTGGCATGAAGACGCAAGTGGTGCTCATGGTTTTGGAATGGGATGTCCTACAAGCTCATATAGGTGGTCAGGTGTCCACAGACGTATAGTGTATATACAATTCTGAGTGGACTGATGGATTCTGGTTGAAGGTATTACGGTTAGGGTTACTGTTCTTGGTTCCTCACCCTCACTCTTCCATTTCAGGTGGAAGGGAAAAACTCGATCATCAACACCTTCAGGCAGCTGATGGCGGAGGAAGGCCCCCGGGGCCTGACCAAAGGCCTCTCGGCCCGCATCATCTCCTCCACGCCCTCGACCATCGTCATCGTGGTGGGCTACGAGACCCTCAAGAAACTGAGCCTCAGACCCGAGCTGGTAGACTCGAGACACTGGTGACAACACGCGGACTAGAGATGCTCCGTAGAAGTGGGCGACGCGCTCGGGCCAACCACGCCTGAAAACGGCCCCCGCGAGGACCGCCCACAATTCCACTGGATTGTACACGACCGTGTGTGTGTGTGTATATATTTGTGTGTCTGAGCACAAAGAGAAAACAGAGACTGCATATCGTACAGAGTGATACGGACTTCGGCCATATCTCAAAAACCACTGCTGCTGGGCCTACCCAAGGTGCCTGCGGGGGATGGGAGGGCACAGGAGGAATCGGCCACCTTACATTCTTGGCGTCCAAGAGCGCCGCCTGTTGTATAGTCTGACCCACGTCTGTGACCTTTTCCCTGTGACCCCCCCGCGTTCTTCTGGTCCCCTGCGCCACCACCTTGGCCCGATCGGGTTTTTTTTTGTTTTTTTTAATCTTTATTTAACCTAAATGGTGTTCGTCCTTTTTAGAATGAACTTTCTTTTTTTACGTATTCAAAGTTCTATCGGATTTTATTTAATGTGATTGCCAAATTGGTTGGACTTTTTAAGAGCGAAAGAGAAGGCGTCCCTTAAAGGATATGTCCACTTCGAGGGGCGGGGGCTTTTTTCTTTAACGCTTATATGGACCCTTTTAATTCATAGTAGGCTCTGCCTTCAGGTAGGTATAGCTCAGGAATCTTCTAACCATGGAAACACTCTTCGAAGGGGGTGTGTGTCTAACAAAATTTTAAAAAGTGGAAGGTCATGCAATTTTTATTTTCATGTTGTAGAGAACCGTTAGAAAAGTCTTAGCGACAAGAAGGTAGGGGTACACCACTCCATGGAGGGGGTGTACCCTTCGATGGGGGGGCGGGCAGATGGCAACAGAAAGGGAGGGGTTTACCCCTCCATGGGGATTCAAAAATGGACAGGATGCGGACAGGTTCTAAGCTATCATTTAAAGCTGGAGTTGGATCTGCTCATATATATGAACCGATTGGCTGTAATTGGGTCCTGGTCATGTGACTTGGGGCAGTGACAGTAGCATCTTTCAGTCAAAGTGCTGACAATGGACTCGGGACATGGTGGGATCTTCTGATAAGTGGTCCTGTGTGGAAGTTGTCTCCCTGATTAACATGGACCTGACTTTAGAGACCGGTACAGCTTAAGAATCACATGAACAGCATTGTTCAGGGTCACATGAGGACAGATCCTTTGCAGATGACATAGGATTTTATTCTAGGATCGCCGTGGTAACGGTTGGCGGGAGGCAGAGCCTTATCTGCAGGATAATAAACTGAAGTTTGATCTGATAAGAGGGAGCGAATCATGCTGCTCTGGAATGACCCGCAACCACAAATCAAACCAATGCTTAACCCCTCTGTGCCGGCAGGAGCTGGCCCTTTAAGGCCGGCAGGTGGGCCCCTGATCATGTGACTGGCTTTCACGGTCACTGTGTTTGCCTGATGAAGGGACCATGTTCGGTCCCGAAACGTTGCTTTTACACTGAGCCACCATGTCTGTATAACGTCTGAATGAAAGAGGAGGACCTTGGAGTGCGGGTGACTTCTTTTAGCTTTCACAGTGGTCACATGATCTGAAGCCCGCCCTACAGTGACAGTTGTGGGCTCATTTCATTAACACAATCTTAAAAGCAATCCAACAAATGTGACGCCCCCCCCGACAATGTAAAAGAAGCATGCATGCAGCTCTGTGTATTTCTTATTATACAAGCAGTGTGAGTGAATGGGGGGCGGGATCAGCCTCCTGCAGTCCTTTCTACAGCAGAGCTCAGGCTGGGGGAGGGAGAAGAAGAACAAGGAGTCCATCAAGTGTGCTGTGGCTCTCATTTCTTAACAAGAGACATGCTGATAGGAGCAGAGAGATGAGCTGATCAGTCTGCTGCTTCTCCTTTCATAGGCGCTGTGTGTCTCCTTAAAGAGAACCTGTCACCTATGATCTGCTGTCACATAGGGGGGGGGGGCTATTATCTCTTTATGTGCTAGCTATTAAAGGACTCCTGGCATGTGTACAAACATAACCCTTGCAGTGTGGCTACCAGTGGCGTCACAAGGGGGGTGCAGCCCGGCCCCCGGGTGACACCATTGGAGGGGGTGACACCAAAATGACAGTCATTTTGGTGTCACCCCCTCTGAAAAGTCAAGGACTGAGAGCCTGACAGTCTCAGGAGAGAGGAGGGGACCCGGCTGCATAACTTATCCGGCCAGGTGACATCCCCCCTCTCTCTGCCGGCAGGTAACAGCGTGTGATGTCACTGGGGGGTGTCACCCCCGCCTCTGGTGGCTACCGCACCACAGCAAAGGTTAAGTGCTCACCCCCCAAAATATTTTTTTTTAAACTCTACATACAGTACAAACCTAGATGTGTGCGCCTACGTATAAAAGCGATGATTGCTCCCCTCCATGTTATACATCGCCACGCTCGCCGGGGTGAGAGCAGTAATTTCCGGGGGGTTTCACAGGTGAGAACAGTTTTAAATCTTGACATGTTCAGTATTTATGGACTCGACGCCAACATAACATTTGTATTTTATTCCCCCTCCCCCCAAAAAAGGGGAATTATGTTGTGTTTGTGTGCACTAAAAATTAATTTTATTATTTTTTTACTAAAAGTTTGATGGATATTATCGCTATGGGGGGGGGTTCACATAATCTTCTGGCCTAAAGGAAAAAAGTTGAACTGGCTCTGGTAGCGAAAGGGTTAAAATATATTTTAAAAAAAGTCATAACAATGCACACACCTTGAATACATTGCTGGGGGCTGTGCACGGGATTTGTGTCTTTCAAATGTGTGTTAATAAAGTTTTGTTTTGTCCTGAATGATATACGGAGGTCAGAGATGCCGTTCTATAGAAGTATTAGGATCCCCATGGATATCGTATTGTTCCCGCTTGCCCCGTCCGTGTTCTTGTATATTGTACCCGCAGCTGGAAGATCTGATCCCGTCACTCGGGTGTATTTGTAAATCGGTGAATGTGACAGGGCGGGTGAATCTTCTTGGGGCGTGCGTCTCTAAGGACAGTCATTGGTTTATCTCTGGTGAATGTCACACTCCGTGCTTTATAAATATGTCCCTAGGGGGTGCCTGTAGATTGCAGAGGGGGGTAGGGGGTGTATGTATCACCCAGCCACCGTTTAGGGGGTGACACCAGTCTGAACAGCCGGACATTGATGATGAGTTGGGGGAGGTCTGCTGTGTCAGTCGGTGCCTCAGTCTGTGCTGCTTATCACAGGTAGAGGCAATAACTAGGGGGAGGAGTTTACTAATGTGCCCCATGATTAGTGATGAATGGCTTCAGTCAGTTGTGGTGCTGCCTGGGACTTGTAAATTGGTATTGGTGACCCAAAAGAATCTGGACTGCCCTGATTGAATCCAGACCACCCCAATCAAATCCAGACTGCCCCGATTGAATCCAGACCACCCCAATCAAATTCGCACTGCCCCGATTTAATCCAGACCACCCCGAATTAATCCAGACCACCCCAATCAAATCTGCACTGCCCCGATTGATTCCAGACTACACCACATCCAGAGCCACGATTGAATCCAGACCACCCCAATCAAATCCGCACTGCCCCGATTTAATCCAGACCTCCCCAATCAAATCCGCACTGCCCCGATTTAATCCAGACCACCCCAATCAAATCCGCACTGCCCCGATTGATTCCAGACTACACCAATCACATCCAGACTGCCCCGATTGAGTCCAGACCATCCCAATCAAATCAGGTTCACCCCAAATGAATCTGATCCGACCTGGACAAATCCGAACTGCCCCGATTAAGCCCAGACACCCCAAATGAATCCGGCCCACCCCGATCTAATCCGGCCCACGAGGGCCACATGGGGAGCCTGTCCCCGCATGTCTGTGAATGGTGTACATACTCTTCCTGTTTCTATGTCGGAGACGTTGGAGGTTCTTTAGAAAACGGTGTGACAAGATGGCGCCGTCTCTGAATGTCGAGGGATTTCCTTGTGTCACGTGCTATTAATACAAATGATGTTAATACTTTGAACAAAGTTGTCGTCTCTTTCTTTTACCTTATTAAAACTTTTCTCGTTTTGAATCGAGTGGGGGAAGGGCCAGAGGCTCCCTTTGTGGGAGATTTCCCCTCACTTCCTGTCAGAAAAGGAAGTCATGAGAAATCAACAGACCAAAACAACCATACGGAAAGGAAATGTTACATTTTTTTATTGCTTTCTGAGCCTTCCTGTTTGGTGACAGCCTCTATATTTCTTGTATGGGTGTCACTGGGACAGGAAGAAAGGGAAAAACTTCCTTCTGATGGGGGTAAAGGTTGAAAGTAAAAACCTGGTAGAAAATTTAACTTTTCCACCAGGGTGACATGGGCCTAAGGCGGGCATGGGCGAACTACGGCTCTACAGCTGTTGATTAACTACAAGTCCCATGAGGCATTGCAAGATTCTCACAGCCACAGACATGACTCCTGGAGAGATGCATCATGGGATTTGTAGTTTCAGCACAGCTGGGGTTTGCTCACCTCTGGCAAAATACAAAACATTAAAGCAGGAGTAGCCAAACTCTGGCCTGCCAGATGTGGTGAAACTACAAATCCCATGATGCATCTCTCCAGGAGTCATGTCTGTGGCTGGTATTTGTAGTTCCACCACAGTTGGTGGGCCGGAGTTTGGCTTCCCCTGCATTAGAGACACCCTCCACCACCTTACAATGCAACCATCCAATGTAAGGAATGTGCTAAGATGTCTCGTTGCCCATAGCAACAAATAAAAAAAAATACTCGGACTTTTCACCCATGATTCACATTTTCCAGGTACTAAAAAAGTGTGAATAATAGGTGAAAGCAGTGTGTATGTTGGGTGAATAGAATTATGAATGGTCATTTATTTCTCTCAGTGTGTTATACATTCATTTGCTCTCACACGGCGGGTCACGTGATTGGAGTGCCCCGTGACGGACGGAGCTGGTAGCCAATCAGCCTTCAGCATCCGCAGGCGGGAAAAGACGGACGAGTCTCTCCACACAGCGCCCTGAGCAAGATGGAAGACGAGGCGGTTCCGTCCACTTCGAGGGATGCGGCGGGCTCGGAGCAACCCGAAGCCGAGGAGGTCCCGGGGCGGCTGCTCATCTTTAATACGCTGGTGGACAAGTTTCTGGAGGGGCTTGTGGAGACGGGAAGGTGAGGTTGAACGTGCTGATTGGCCGCCCCGTCGTGCTCGGCGCGTTAGGATTGGCTGACGCGGTTATCTCCCTCGCGCGACGGGATTGGCTGAACTCAGGGAAAACGCGATTTGATTGGCGGGATGGAGATAAGTCTGACTTTTGATTGGCTGTGGGAGCTTATGGTGTATTTCTCTACTGCAAGTCTTGCCATTAGAGCTGACAGTCGATCTGATGAGATTTGATTACAGTGTTACAACCTAACCTACCCAAATATTTTGTCATTTTTGACTAGAATGAGGGACGGTTTAACATTTGCATGTGACTCCCCCCCCCCCCCCTTCAGGAGATTTTTTTTTTTTTACTTCCTGCCTGTGACACCAGGACAGGAAATAAGGGTGAGGTTGTCACTGCCAAGCAGGCACAGATGAAAACAAAGTAGCTAACCCTTCCTCACACCACTTTTTTTTGTGTGTTCATGTTAGCGACAATTTCCACCATTTCCTGTCCAGACAGGAAGTGAGGTGAATTCTCCCACTGGGGGACACAGATGACAATAAATACCTGAAAGAAACACTTCCTGTTCTAACTATCACTAAGGGGACCATTAAAAAGCGGCAGTAGGGGCCACATTGCGCTTCGCTGGCTTCAGAAGTCTGCATTGAGTGGCAGAAGAATAGCCAGAGCTCAGTCATGTGACCTGTCCAGGTCACATGGCAAGCTGTCCTCCAATCACACTGCTCCGTCTGCTGCTTAAACACAATATGCAGTTTTGAGGTGCAGTGGCTCCTCCCCCCCCCACGGTGATGACAAACTCTCAGCTGTGCAGGTTAGTGTGTGCCCGTGTCATGTGACCTCATAATCCCCTATTGGGGTTCATAACTTTATCATCGCTATGGCAATATCTCACAGGCTCCTCCCCCTTTTCCTCCGCAGCTACGAGCGCTTCGCCCGATGCTACAAGAAGTTCTATAAGCTGCAGCCGGAGCTGACCCGCGGCATCTACGACCAGTTCGTGGCCCAACTGCACTCGTCCATCAAGGTGAACCGACGCAGCCATGCGCTGAAAGGAAATCCACATTCTGGGTTGTCACCAGAACAGGAACAGATGGGGAATCTTCCAACGGGGACACTAGTTTTGGTGACTGCCAGGGATTTTTTTTCACTTCCTGTTTTGGCTATCAGACAGGAAATAAAGGGGGCCCTAGTTTTGTTGACCGCCAGGGACTTCCCCTCTCTTTCTTTTGAAGGATTTCCTTTCACTTCCTGTTGTGGATATTGGACAGAAAGTGAAGGGAAATCTCCCTATCGGCGACACAAGTTTTGGTGACTGCCAGGGATTTCCCCTCACTTCCTGTTGTGTCTATCAGACAGGAAGCAAAGGGAAATCTCCCCAATAGGGACACTAGTTCCGATGACTGCCAGGACTTTCCCCTCTCTATCTTTGATTTTCTTTCACTTCCTGTTGGGGGCTATCAGACAGGAAGTGAAGGAAATCTCCAATGGGGACACTAGTTCTTGTGACCGCCAGGAATTTACCACTCTTTTGGAGGGATGTCCTCTCACTTCCTGTTGGGTGCTATAAGACTTTGGGTTGTCACCAGAACAGGAACAGGTGTTAAATCTCCCCAAGGGGGACACTAGTTCTGGTGACCACCAGGAATTTCCCTCTTTTTTTGGAGGCATTTCCTCTCGCTTCTTGTGGTCATCAGACAGGAAGTGAAGGGAAATCTCCTCCAATGGGGGACACAGGTGGCAGAAACAAGCTGATTGGGTATGACCTTCCATTCCCAATAAATCCCAATACTGGTTCTTGTTAGTGGCGGCCAACTCCGGCCCTCCAGCTGTGCTGAAACTACAAATCCCATTATGCTTCTGCCTTTGGGAGTCATGGATGTGACTGTCAGAGTCCTGCAATGCCTCATGGGACTTGTAGTTCCACAGCAGCTGACATTACTCACCCCCCCCCTCCCCCCGCCTAGCTGATTACACTCCGCCCCTCATTTGGTGTTCTGGTCTTCCACAGGCAGAGGTCCAGGAAATAAAGGAGGAGGGGAACCTGGAGGCGCTGCTGGACTCCTTGGACCGGATGGAGAAGGACTCGGCGGCCATGACTGACCTCCAGTGGTGAGATTTGCTGTATGGCGTTGGGGTGATCGGTCACTAAGGGGCTCCTGTATGACCGGGGGGGGGCGGACACCACAACCCCCCGGGATTCATTCATCCAATGCAGGCCGCCGTGTCACATGGAGGTCTCTGTGCTTTATACAGAAGCTTCATCGCCATGGTGGGAGGTGAGGCTGGTCATGTGACTTGGACAGGTCACATGACCAGGCTGCAGAGAGAGACCATGGCTGTGACTTAACAGCTCCCTGTTCTCTCCTCCGTACTCTCCAGGTGGTCTTATGACGGTTCTGGGACATGCAGATAGAAGTGCTGTATTAACCCTTTGCTGACCGCGGTGTTACCCCCCCCCCCTGCTGCCCGGAGGGTTACCCGCCCCCGCCCCCCGAACGGAATGTTAGCCCCCCCTTCCTGTCCCGGCCATTTTTCAGTATTCAGCGCTGCGGTACTTTGACTGACGTTTATTCCGTCATACAACGCTGTACTGAAATAAATGTTATACCATTTTTGGGGACACATAGAACTTTCTTTTGGTGGCATTTAATCACACGGGGGGGTTATTTTTTACTATATAATGAAAAACAGGAACGAAAATTTTGGGTAAAAAAAAAACTTTCACTTCCGGTTGGGTCTATCAAAAAGACAGGAAGTGAAGAGAAATATCCCCAATGGGACCACTAGTTCTGGTGACTGCCAGGAATGTAGTTCTCTTTTTGCAGGAATTTCCACTCGCTTCCTGTTGGGGCTTTCAGACAGGAAGTCAAGGGAAATCTTCCTAATGGGGACACTAGTTTTGTTGACTCCAGGGATTTCACTTCACATCCTGTTGGGGCTATCAGACAGGAAGTGAAGGGAAATCTCCACAATGGGGACACTAGTTCTACTGACCACCATGGGTTTCCCTCCCTTTTTGGAGGGATTTCCTTTCACATCCTGTTGGGGCTATCAGACAGGAAGTGGAGGGAAATCTTCCCAATGGAGACACTAGTTTTGTTGACTGCCAGAGATTTCACTTCACATCCTGTTGGGTCTATCAGACAGGAAGTGAAGGGAAATCTCATGAGACACAGATGGAATGACCATGCAAGGTCGTACAAGCGATCGGCCGGCTATAGAGCCGGCCGATCGCTTGTATGAGACAGCCGGTAGTCTGGTGGCGCGTGCGAGCAGAAAAAAAGATCACCCGCGGGAAGGATCCGCCGCCCGCCCGTAATTTTACGATGGGCGGGCAGCAAGGTGTTAATAGAGGGTCCAGAACTCGGGGGTTACATGGGGCCATGTTGTCGATGGACAGGTCCACTTAGCCCATGGAAGGCTGGTGGGTGCGGCAATGCGAGGGAGCCAAACCCCCCCTCCCCCGGTCATAGTGGCAGCCATGACCGTGCTTTGCTCCGGCAGGCGTCCCAGCGGGGTCCCCGAGGAAGACGTGCGCGATCACCTGGTCCCGTACCTGCTGCAGCAGCGGGAATATCTCCGGAAGTTGGTGGCGGAGAGGGAGCGGGAGAACGCCAAGCTGGCGCGGAGCGTCCTGGCCGGGAGGAAGAAGATCGAGGAGATGCAGCAGGAAATTCAGAGGAGGCAGCAAGTCTGGCAGGTGATGTCATGGACTGAGCGCCCCCCTGCGGCACGTGTTGAATTCTATAAGTCTAAGGCGTTAGTCCTGGTAACCGTTTAATTTTTGTCTTCTAGAAGTTGAGCAAATCTCAGAGGGATCTGATCCTGTCCATTCAGGGGCCCGAGAAGGCGTGACCAGAACCTGCCACCGCGCCAACCGCTGTCCCATATTGTGGATGACTGACTGGTTTATTCATAGACAATTCAGAGTCATTCACCCTGAGAATCCCGGTGAATGTTCCTTCTGTGCGAATAGAGGCAAAAACAAACGTTTGGTGTATAGATTTACTTTTCCGCTCTCCTGTAATACTGCAGTATGGCCACTAGATGGCGCTGAGGAAACATCTTCGCGTCCTTGTGCTCGTCAGCTCCATCTAGTGGTCATAATAGGATATCACATGACATTCAACCTAGAAACGTTCCTTTTTGTCTCTTTTCACATGCAGTGAATGTTGGCAGGAGATTCGGAGGGTGAATGGCTTTGCAGATGTTTTATGAAAGGACCCCGGAGTGTTCCTGGATCTCAGCCATGGTGAATGTTGTCAGATGGAAGCCAAGGATGGATTTGAGGGAGGTCTGAGCTCCGCACATTGTTCTCTTTGTTCCAAGTTTCAATGTTAATAAATTATGTATTTTCTATGTACGTTGTGTTGTCTTTATTACATATAAGCAAACATTGGCTGGTGGTCTGTGCTCCGAATATTGTGTAACTAGAATAATAGTACACATACGTGTGTAGTAGGAGAGTATTAGTACATGTAGAGTATTCGTACACATACATGTGCACTAGGAGAGTATTAGCGCATGTACACTAGTAGGGTAATAGTACATGTACGCTAGGAGAGTAATAGAGCACATATATGTACGCTACGAGAGTAATAGTACACATACATGTACGCTAGGAGAGTAATAGTACACATACATGTACGCTAGGAGAGTAATAGAGCACATACATGTACGCTACGAGAGTAATAGAGCACATACATGTACACGAGGAGCGTAATAGAGCACATACATGTACACGAGGAGAGTAATAGAGCACATATATGTACGCTAGGAGAGTAATAGATCACATATATACGCTACGAGAGTAATAGAGCACATACATGTACACGAGGAGAGTAAAAGAGCACATACATGTACACTAGGAGAGTAATAGAGCACATGTACACTAGGAGAGTAATAGTACACATACATGTACACTAGGAGAGTAATAGTACACTAGTAAGGTAATAGATCACATACATGTACACTAGTAGGGTAATAGTACACATACATGTACACTAGTAGGGTAATAGTGCACATACATGTACACTTTATATTCTCTTGATGTCTTGAGTTCCTCTAATCTCTGGTCCTTTCCCCCGGGGAGCGGTCACGGATCGGGATGATGGGGTTCATACGTGTGTACTGTGACCTATAAATATAACGTGTGTTTTCCAGCAGACAACATAAACATTCTGCTGGTTTGGCCGGGCCTGAGGCCTCTGCGGTCTGCTGTGAACTCCGTCCCCCCCGCTGATTACACGTGTGGCTCGGAGTCCTGGCCGCGGACTGGTTTCCAGTGATTTCCTGGGTTGTCGTCCAAACCCCGAACTGGCAGCCGGGACACGCCGCAGCCTCATGGATGTTGTGATTGAAGTTAACTCTCCGTGTGACTGGAGCAGACCACTGAACATGCCGATAACATGCCCTCGTGGTGAGGTCACCATCCATAAGATATTCCAGAAAGAGGTCCCACGCCATGGACTTCAAAGATGCCGGAGACCCCCCGCCCCCCATAACCAATCACACAACACCACATCAATCCATCAGCAAGCACCGGTCCCCTATACCCCACTCTGGTCTGTGCCACCATGAGGAGGAGTTTTACTGAATCCCCGCGCTGCAGCTAATCTGGATACAGGAGAACCTTCTCTGTCCTTTGTTCCTGATGGAGCAGCGCGGCGGGCCCTGTGCTGGAGGAGTCTCCATAAGACGTGGCTCTGGGCTCTCCAGCCAGGTGACCCCGGGGTCACAGAGTCCATCCAGCGCCGCTTAGTACTTTGAGGTCTGACCGCCGGCGGAAAAACATCCACCGCTACACAGAGAGGAAGGCGAGGAGTGAGGATAATAGCAGAGGACTGTGAACTACAGCGTCCCAACATGACATTATACCGTCACCTCACCCGGCCTCTGCCACACCTTCTCCTCACCCGGCCCCGTCACACCTTCTCCTCACCCGGCCCCGTCACACCTTCTCCTCACCCGGCCTCTGCCACACCTTCTCACCCGGCCTCTGCCACACCTTCTCCTCACCCGGCCCCGTCACACCTTCTCCTCACCCGGCCTCTGCCACACCTTCTCACCCGGCCTCTGCCACACCTTCTCCTCACCCGGCCCCGTCACACCTTCTCCTCACCCGGCCTCTGCCACACCTTCTCACCCGGCCTCTGCCACACCTTCTCCTCACCCGGCCCCGTCACACCTTCTCCTCACCCGGCCTCTGCCACAACACACCCCCATCCCGTACACACCCCCATCCCGTACACCCCCCCATCCCGTACACCCCCCCATCCCGTGGGGGGCATAAAAAAAACTCCTGAGTATCAAAAGTTTTTTGTTTTCAAGCGCAAAAATGTTCCTCTGTGTGAAAGTTGATGATGCCAGGGATAGCAGGAGAGGGGAGAAGGTCGGACTTACACACTTCTTTGATCTGCCTGCTTGTAGTAATGATTTTGGTTTCTACATTGTTTCAATCTTTCTTCATACGCAGTGTGGATATTTCTCTCTCCTCATCCACTTTTTGTTTTCTCGAGCTGGTTAATCACACACGGCATTGAATCCCGATTGTGTTGCCAATTGGCACAGAAGGACTTCCCCCCCTCCCCCGCTGGCCTCAGGATGTCCTCTATTTTTGGTGAACTGATGTACATAAGTGATTACTGTCTTCTGGTTGCCGGATGGACCGTGTGCCACAGAGCTCTGGGGTGGAGCCTGGTCCCTCCTCTCCTGCGGGGGCACTGAGGTTGCCGGGCGATCCCGTATATATACCGTGGTTCAGCTAGAGGAGACAGAGACCGGAGAAGGAAAGCAGACTCAGAACTTGAAGAGAAGGCAAGAACCGGCACCATGAAACTGGTGATTGTCGCCGCTTTACTTGGGTTGGTGGTCCTGTGCATGGGACGTAGAGGTAAGGACATCACCCCATCGACCCCGAACCCTTCTCTCTATTGTCTCTACATATCACTGTACTGACCACTCTATGGTGACCATTCTCAGGCAGGGTTCCTCATGAGGTTCCTTGAATTATGGCCGAGTGACCTCCCATCTAATGGTGCCTAGACACAGGAACTCAGCACAGGGATGGTGGGAACCCCTCATAATGGGCACAGCAGGTGTACAGACCCGGGAACTCAGCACAGGGATGGTGGGAGCTCCTCATAATGGGCACAGCAGGTGTACAGACCCGGGAACTCAGCTCAGGGATGGTGGGAGCTCCTCATAATGGGCACAGCAGGTGTACAGACCCGGGAACTCAGCTCAGGGATGGTGGGAACCCCTCATAATGGGCACAGCGGGTGTACAGACCCGGGAACTCAGCACAGGGATGGTGGGAGCCCCTCATAATGGGCACAGCAGGTGTACAGACCCGGGAACTCAGCACAGGGATGGTGATGTCATTTGTCCTTTTTTTCCCCTAGCTCACAATCGTGGAAGTCTGGCGGATTCTCGCAGCGCTGAAGGTTAGTCTCCTTTTACCTCATCCGTATTACTTGCCCCTTTCTGTCATTTATTACAGTGTGGACCCCGACATGTCTTAGTAGACACTCCAAAAGGCTCTGGTGTCTCCCCGATTGTGAAATCAAACCATGCGGCGTACCATATTTTTTAAGTTTAAAGGGCCTTTGGTCATATTTTTTGTATACTTTGTTTCCTTTCGATATATACAATTTTTGTTTTACAAATAGACCTATGACAGGATTCCCTGAGCACTATGGGAGCAGTGTTGTCACCATAGGCTGCCCTACAAACACCCACCCCCTCTACTCAGAAATAGGGAGGTATGGGTTGCGTAGTTCACAGACGACAGATGGGATGGCTGATAACATTGTTTGAGATTTCAGTTCAGTGTACAGGAAGTAATAAGGATTTTGGGCTTCCAGGAAGACCACCAGGTGTTTTCTGTACTTATGGAGTATGTTCGTTGCCTGAAAAAGAAATCTTTCCCACATCTAAGGACTGCTATGCTGCCATATATTACATTTTATTCTTGAGTTCAGATGCCCTTGGAACCCCCCATGTTGTCTTTTAGGTCCACGTCTTATGCTGGGTCTAGTTTGATGGTTCCGGACATTTCCCATAATCTGCTGTAGAGTTGAAGGCCCCGCTTATGTGGTCTATGTCCAAATAGGTGGGCTCACTTGTCATATCCCCACACCCACCATACAGGGAAAGTGTTTTACATGTCAACCAAATTCCAGCCATGATTAGCAGCGGTGTATTTAGGTTTTGTGCTGCCCTAGGCAAGACTATACTCGGGCACCCCCCAATCTAAATTTGCCCCACCCCTTTCCTGTAGAAGACATTTTGCATAACCTTCAGTCACTGGCTTCTGACAGGTTGCGTTAGTAACGTAGTTGGGTCTCAGGTGGGCTGTAAAGGATCTCTTGTGACCCCGCACAGCCCACCGGAGACCTTGTAAAGCCCACCACAGACACAGCATAGCCCACCACAGACGCTGCATAGCCCACCTGAGACCTTGTAGAGTCCACCACAGACCCCACATAGCCTGCTAAGACCCCGCATAGCCCACCACAGACCCCACATAGCTCACCTGAGACCTTGTAGAGCCCACCACAGACCCTGCATAGCCCACTTGAGACCTTGTAGAGCGCACCACAGACCCCGCATAGCCTGCTAAGACCCCGCATAGCCCACCATAGACGCCGCATAGCCCACCTGAGACCCCGCATAGCCCACCATAGACTCTGCAGAGCCCACCTGGGACTCTGGGGTGGGCTGCGCAGCATCTATGGTGGGCTGTGTAGAGTGCCTTTCCCTGCACACATGTGCTCCTCCACTTACCTGAAGCCCACCCAGCCAGCCAGCCTTCGGGGCATCCCTGACCCGCCCACAGCTCTCCAGCCCCGCCTCCGGTCCCACCTCGGCCCCTCCTCCACCCTGCCTCCTCCTAAACCCGGCATCTCTCTCAGGTAAATTAGGTAGCCGCTCGTTGGGCCGTGGCTGCCTGATTCTGTGCGACCCTGCTCACCGCACCGATTTGCCGCCCCCATGCAATGTGCCGCCCCAGGCAAACGCCTCATTTGCCTTGCGGTGGATAAGCCCCTGATGATTAGCGTCCAAGTTTGGAAGAGATAAGAAAGGAAGGGATGGACATCTACTGTGGCTTCGCCATTTCTCACCAGCAATGCCTCTTGTTTCCCTCTGACAGCGTTTATCTCTAGACAAGAGTCCGCCAACTTCGTCAAAAGACACAGACGTAGCAACATCCGCAATCAGTAAGTATCGTACATCTCCTGCCATCAGTTCTACTAACCAATAGAACACATTAACCCGGTCCTGGTGATAGTCAACCATTGGATCTCCAGCAGATGAGGCCTTCAAGTCCTACTATGTCCTTCTGAACTTGTGATTGCACCCAAACTGTTCATCCACCAGTTGACTATGACTGTTTACGTGAGCCCTGGCCTCCGGTCATGTGATGCAACGTCTGGGTTGACCTTTGTCAGTAACTTTCTGTTTTCCGTCTTGCCAGGGTCTTCGGAACCCCCGTAAGAGACCCTCTAGAATCCAAGAGAGAGGTCTGCGAGCTCAACCCAAGCTGCGACGAACTGGCCGACCAAGTTGGAATTCAGGCGGCCTACAGACGCTTCTACAGCCCGGTGTAGAGGACCCCTTGCTTCTCCTCTCCACTTTGTATGTTACCTTACACCCATCCTGCTTTCCCCACAACGTATCAAGCTGGCCGGCTGTTTCCTGGATGGGGCCGCACTCTCGTTGCTTTGTGTATGTTGTAGCTAAATAGCCATTACCTCATGTAGCTAGGCAAGAATGGCACAGGAGCGGGGTGGGGGGGGGGGGTTTGGGGTTAAAAGTTTAAAAATGGGCCCTTAA